GGAAAAAAAAAAAAAAAAAAAGGATAGGATCTTAATAGGTCCTGAGAAAAGCTTTACTGAGGTCTTCAGGATTATTGCAGTATGCCCCTAACTGGTTTTCCTGATTTAGATCTCCCTACTTGCCCTTTCCCAGTCCAAGTCAATATCACAATCAGGTGAGTTCTTAAAACAGCAGTTTTCAACCTTGACTTTGCACCAAAGTTATTTGTGAAGCATTAACAAATAAAAAGAAAGGTGCCTAGACTCCACTCTCAGATACTTTGACTAAGTGGGTCTTGTGTGGGTCCAAATCATCTGTATGGGTGATTCTGATATCCAGCCAGGATTGAGAACCATTGTCTTGAACAAATATGTTGCTTCCCTGATGAACAAGCTTCAGATCCTGCAATATGTGCATTATAGCATCCAAACCCTTGGCCCAGGCATCCGAGCCTCCATCTCTAATCTGATGCCGATGTGCCCTTATTCACTCCCTTTTTTATTCCTCTTCTCTAGCTACCGGGACTACTGTTACATCCCAAAGGCAGGTATGAAATTTTATCCACCTTTATTGTACTCTCCACTGCACTTAGCACAGTGCTAAGTTAAATAATACTGGGTTCAAATACATTATATAAATATATTGTATTTTTCCTGCTTTTTGGACCTACGGAAACCAGAAAATTTAGTAGTTTTAGGCTGACCCAAGTTATTCGTTTCTTTTGGGACTCTGCTACCCATCAGTGTTCCAATAGGCCATATTTTACGAGAGTTTACATTCAGACCCACATTTCTGATACATATTTAATATAGCAGTGGTTCAAGAACTTTAGTGTGTATCAGCCTCACCTGGGATGCTTGTTAGAAATACAGATTCCTAGGCCCTGCTCCAAACCTACATTAAGATCCATATTGTGAGAATCACAGTTTGTAATATCATATTTTGTCTGGCTTAGGACACAGGGAGCCTAGGATGAGACCTGGCCTCCTAGTTTTCATCATTCTTCCTCTCAACAAAAAGAGTGGCCAGTACTACCTGGGCTGATGTGGGGATAGAAATACACCCAACTTGTGAAGGGAAAGGTGGGTAAAAGTCTGGGATACATGAATAAAGATCACTGTGGGGAGCATAGGAGACACATGAAGCCAATTGCAGGGCAAGTCCTGGAAGGCTGAGATGAGTTCAAATTGTAACTGATTTAAAAAGCTGACCTGGCTATGAAGTATTTTATCTCATTGTTTTTTTTTTATCTCATTGATTTTTAAGAAACACACCTCCATACAGTAGGAATCAAGGAAACAAGGATTCTTTTCAAATTATTCACTAACTCAAAATACCAGAAGCACTGAATGAACCCATTTCAATTAACACTGTGAGTACATGAGAAAATAACTGCCACTGGGGAAAGGATGTTCCTACTGTTAAACTGTCACACCACTGCTCAGCTGGCCCCAAACCTGCCATCATGTTAAATGAGAGGATCGATGATGGTCGATTGGATTGTTGGCTTCATTTGGTGATGGTGACAGGTCCTGTACAAGTGCTGAATGGAAGAGAGCAAAGAGCTATTCTGCCTGTCAACCTGGGATGAACTAAGATCAAATATCCCCATTATTGCTCAAGCATTGGAAGCTTCTCTGATATGCATGGATCCTTTTTGCCTTAACATTTTTGTTTGTTTTTAGTTTAGCCCTTCTCTTGGGTCTTCAATGATGTTGGGGATTCACTATTTTATACCTCCCCCATCTGTGCCTTTTTGAGCCCCATTTTTTGGGCAGACAGGCTGAGAGTTAGCCAGGATCCAATAGCCTGGATTTTTGCCCTTCTCTGCTCTTGATCTAAGTAGATGAAACAACGTAAGCCAAGCAAATAGTTAGGTAATAGACTGCCCAAATTGCAGAGGATGGATGAGGTCTAAAGATGAAATATGGAGATATGTGTGAAGTTATGTCACAACGAGGCCTCTAGTAATTAAGAACTTGCTCACAGAAAAGAGGTTTTATTTAGCCTCTAAATGGAGACAAATGAAAGGAGTTCAAAGTTACACAGGTGCTTTTGTAGCAAAAAGCAATCGGCCCCTTCATTTTTGACTTGGACCATAACACAGAGAGTGGGCCACACAGTGAGAGTTGGCAGCAGTATGTTTGAAAAAATAAGAGGAAGGAGGATTGCACACTCTATGGTTATAACTTGGGGAATTTACTGCTGGCAGAACCTTCGAGAAAAATATTTTAGTTGGAAATAATAGTAAAGTCTAGTTAGTGATATTCAAGGAACCTCATGAATTGTAAATTCAGCTTATGAATAAAAAAATATAAAGCCCAGCTCTATTTATTAGAAGATGCTTATATATTAAACAAGTGCATCAGGGTCCTTATAATAATATTATAAATATTCTATTGTCTGAGGGAACACCACTTTCTTAAAAGACCATATTCTGAGCAGGTACCGCCCTCAAACTATATGCCTGCAGGGATGCTTCCAGTAGCTGTGATTTAATCAGCATACCACTGATTTTTGGAGGCACGTTAGCTCCTTTAGCTCACCAGGATTGTATTAAGTGCTTTGGAAGAGGTAATCTAATCTACTGAATGGCCTGAAAGATCAAAAGCACCTCCAAACACAAGCAACTCCTCCACTTCTCAACCATAGGGTCAGGGAACTGGGAATATTATTTCAACTGCTTAGGAAAGGTAGGTGAAAGTGCCGGGCAGAGGACAGGCAATTATCTCTCTGCTGCGTGTTAAGCAGCGTTTCGCCTGGCTGTTAAATTACTTCCAGCTGTTGGCAACAATTTTCTCCTCATCATGGCGGGAACGAGAGACCCTGGCAAATGCTGAAGAGCAGTGCGAGTCGCTGATTAGATCCAAGATCCAGCTGGAGGCCAGCGTCCAGGCGCTGCCTGCGTTGGGGGTTGGGGGGAGGAAGAAGAGGAGGTAAATTCCCAGCTGACTGCCGGAGGGCGGAGACTCGAAGATGAATGTTCCGCGTCGAAGAAGAAAGAAATCGATGACCTGGAGACACTATTGGCAAAGTCACAGAAGGAGAAGCGTGCTTCAGAGTACAAGGTACTTTTTCTATAATGTCAGGAAGGTCTAGATGCCTGAATTCCACACTCTCAATTGGGCTCCAGGACCAGACTTGCTCTGTTTATATTAATTAACACAGTGGTCCGCAACTTTACAGCACTGGGAGTCAGAACTGGCGTCAAATGAAGGATCTGGTGAACTGTGCCATCCTAATTCAAAGTTCCAACTTGAATTTATGGAACCCCACTTAATCTCCCAACTGAAACGTTTTCATTTGTTCCAATCTAATTGCATGTGAAATCTGATAGAAAGAGCAAAATGGTTTCATTGGGCCTCTCTAAGTATCCTTTTTTGGAAGGAGAGGGAACAGGATGCAGTTTATTGAAAGGTGATTTGGGACACGTCTGAATTCCCACCTCTGTCGTTGATTTGGAGCTTGACCTTGAGATGTCATTTTAATTCCAGCTAAGGACCTTAATGTTTTGTTCATTTTAACTGAGGTTTTTATCTTGTGCATCTGTGTATAGACTGAAGTCAGCTGAGGGGTCTGTATCAAACCTTTGAGAAAAAAAGTCTCCAGAATAATATCGTAATTTTGGCAGCTGACTAAAGAGCAACTCTTGTACATCAGTTCCATTTCATAAAAAGCACTTGGACCTGATATAAATGGCTTACACTTTTGCCTATTTTATCAGCTGGAACTCTCTTTAACTGCCACTTTCTTAGGATTTGAGGCACAAGATTAACATTGCCCCGAATACTCTAAAGAAAGCTAAATTACCTTTAGTGGTGTCCTTGTTATACAAATAATACGACACTCTGAATACTGGCCATCCACTGACCTATGCTGATAATATATATATATATATATTTTTAATTAATTATTTATTTTTGGCTGTGTTGGGTCTTCGTTTCTGTGCGAGGGCTTTCTCTAGTTGCGGCGAGTGGGGGCCACTCTTCATCGCTGTGCGTGGGCCTCTCACTATCGCGGCCTCTCTTGTTGCAGAGCACGGGCTCCAGACGCGCAGGCTCAGTAGTTGTGGCTCACGGGCCTAGTTGCTCCGCGGCATGTGGGATCTTCCCAGGCCAGGGCTTGAAACCTTGTCCCCTGCATTGGCAGGCGGATTCTCAACCACTGCGCCACCAGGGAAGCCACTATGCTGATAATAATTGATTAACCAGAATACCCCATTCCCCGACCAGGAGAGCTAACAGATCATTTGTGTCTGTGTGTAAAAGAAAAAGTGAATTTAGAGTTTTAAAAAGTCCATCAGGAATTTGGCTAAATTTGGTTCTTTATGACAGTCGATACCACATGAGATTTTTGGTCCTAGAAAAGAGAGGAGATGGCCCTTAGTGTTTATACCCCACCTTCCGTAAGTGGCTCTCATGGAACTGTTGTCGTCTTCTCCCCACAGGTTAAGAATCTGACTGAGGAGGTGGAGTCTCTCAGTGAGGACGTCAGCAGACTTCAGCGAGCAGCCAGGGTGCGCGGGAGGCCTGCCAGCAGACCCTGGAGGACCTGCACGCAGAAGAGGAGAAAACCCTCACCCTGAGCAAAACCAAGCTGACACTAGAGCAGCCAGTGAACGAGGTCAGTAGTGATATGTCTTGCTAGTTAGCTGTGTGTCTGCATCTGTACAAACCTCCACTTTTTACTTAGTTCATTTATCTTGACATTTTCAGGAAAACTTAGTAGAAAGGTTAATTTCCCTCATTATTTAGAAATAAGAGGTGAGCCACTACAGTAGAAGAAAGGCCCCAGCATGTAATCTGTCTGTTTTTATATGCAACTTTCACACAACCCTGGGCAGTGGGAGAGCACTGAAATGAATCGTGAAGGGGTATCAATCTGACTGACTGTTCCCCACAGAACCTGGTGTTTTGCCCCGCAGATATGTTGGCGCTTTATCTGACACTAGTACTGAAGGATTGCTTTAAGGCCCTGTTGTGTCTCCAGCCATGCACTGAGGTTTGTTAAAGTAAAAAGATATGTAAGTCGCAAGCTGTGTTCTACCAACACTATTGGAAAACACTTGTAAGATTCTGGAGATGGTGCCCCTGTTCTGCCTCCAAATACCTTGTGAAATAAAGATGCTTCAGACGAGTCTCAGTGGTTAGGTTCATCACTCTTCCTGTTTCCTCCCAGCTGACAGTGTGTGCATTCACTGTTTTATTAGTCCCCAAAGCTTAGCTTTTATTAAATTGCTGACAAGGGTGGTTAGGGTTTTTTTTTTTATTATCTGCTTCTTTTTCCTCATGCCTTTCTGTCAATTTCCTCTATTACCTATTAGTCATCTCACTTCTCCTCCTATTTCCACTGATACATATCTCACAAAGCCTCAATATGGGGATTTATTGGTTGTGTGCAAACAACACACACACTTGTTCTCTCGCAGAGTTCATTTCTTTTCAGGTTTTTGCATACGCCCTCCAGAAATTCTCCCTTCTCCCCTATTCGAATTTTATATCTTTTGCTAGTCACAGGAAATAGCTTCTATTGTGGCAAAGTAAATATATCACTGAAAACTAGCCATATTGTAACTGTTGTTTAGCCTCCCACTAAGCTAACCTCAACATCATGGTTGGCAACACTACAGACAGAACTTGAATGTTCTGATCACCTTGTTGGAGGTACCAGAATATGACACAATGTTATGGACCATAGAGGGTACCAAGGTGGTAAAGGAGGGTGTGGAAATCATGCCATGTGAGATGCGTTTGAAAGGGTCAGTGATACTGAGTTGGAAGACTCAGGACAGCTGCCTAATATTCGTGAATGATCATGTGGAGACAGATTTGCTTGGTGCTGCTCCAGGGAGCAGAGCTTAGGCTGGTGGGATGAACTTACAGAGACTACTTTGGCTTCTTATGAAGAAGTGCTCCTGAGTAAATGGACTTATCCACCCATGAAATGAGCTGCCATGTGAAGAAGTGAGCTTCCCATCACTGGAAAGCAATCAAACAAGGGCTCACTAGGCATCTATTATTGGCTTCTTCTGTAGGCTAGAACACGTATTCCTTAATCTTTAAAGTTTTCCTTCATCACCATGATTTCTAGATTCTTTTGTTGTCCTATGGATGTGTACAATATTTATTTTAAAATATCTACGTAACTGGGCATCATTTACAGGCTCTGCTTGTATTTTTCTTTCTTTTTCCAGAAGGTAAGTGGTTAATGAACACATCTAGTAAAGTATAAACTTTACTTATTTATTGGACTCAATAATGTCTCCTTCTGTCAGCTTGAGGGTGCCCTTGAACAGGAGAGCAAAGCGAGAACGAACTGGGAAAAGGAAAAGTGCAAACTGGAGGGCGAGGTAAAGCTGAACCGGGAAAGCATGGAGGACCTGGAGAGCAGGCAGCTGCAGCTAGCAGGAAAGCTGAGGAGGTGAGTCACCTTTCTGTTGACTCGAGATTCTGGGAGACATTTTATTGGAGGAAACAGCTCTCTCATGTCATTTATCCTCATGACCCTAGGGCCAGATGTCTTAAGACCTGAATGGGAGGATAAGAAGGATGACAAGCCTAGGAAATTGATTTTTTTTTCTTTTGCTATACTTTATGTGAACTTTCTTTTTATAATTATGTAATAACCTACAAGAAGGTAACTGAGAAGGCTGACTAGTAGATGCAAATGAAAGGTGTAAGGCACAGGAGATGCGAATTATCGGAATTTGAAGTTACAAGTCAAAATAAAAATCGCTCACTTCTTTTCCTCATGATGAGACCAATGGCCTAAAGTAAAAAAATAAAAATAGAAAATAAATCCTAATGTGAAGTGCCATATACCATCTGATCATTTAAAAAAAAAACAAAACTTATTTGCCAGATATAACCTCATTAACATTTATATAACATTTTTTGGTCAAATAATTTACTGTATAAGTATTAAACCTTAAAATTGAAAGCAAAACATAACATGATCAAAATCAGTAGACCTTCAGTTCACATGGATTCCCAAGGAGCTCAGGGCAAGACAGCCCTCTCAGTTTAGTTTCATCATTCAGTGAAATGGATTTTCTCACCTTGTCCCTTTTGTCTTCCTCTGTTCAGCTAGACTTTCTTCTTCTTCTCCATATTTAAAAAAAAAATTTGGCTGAGCTACGCAGCATGCAGTATCTCAGTTTTCTGACCAGGGATTGAACGTGTGCCCCCTGAAGTGGGAACCCGTAGTCTTAACCACTGGACTGCCAGGGGAGTCCCCAGCTAGACTTTCTTCTAACCATTAGGGATTTTCCAGTTATTTGGAATAGATCAAATAAGAGAGGGAAACAGTGAGATCTAAGAGTGAGATAAGGCCAGGTTAAAGCTGGGAGCCCACTGGTTATTGGAGCCCACAGTGAAGAAGAAGAAAGTCAAGTGAGCAACTATGAGCTTCTGGTTTTCCTGTCTGTGTACATGAGTTTCCATTACACATGCTTGTGGTCAGACTTGATTAATAGCCTACCAATAAGTTACTGAACTTGATAGGTGTTTCCAACTTGATAGGTAGGAAAAGATGAAATAAGTAACCCTATGAATGTAACGGAACAGTGAAAGGCAAAATGATGATAGAGCTCCCTAAGCATTCAATTTTGAAGATTGTGTTTCAGCTCAGCAAAGTGAAACTGATACTCTATGTCCTTGTAGGCCACAGGTCAAAGAGCTCTGGCATTTCAGAAACCCAAGTTTTCAGGAAATGATAAATTTATTATACAACATTTTCTCTAAATGGACCTATGTATATATGGAAACAATACATGAAAATGTGGCATTTTAAAATGGTGATGACAGGATAGAATACTTAATAAATAACACAGATTATAAGCTCTTCATCTTCTGAGATAAAAGTTAAATTTCTTCCTCACGCTATTCACACAAACACCAAATCCAGTTTCATTAAAGAATTAAATGCAAAAATCAAGCTATAAAATCATTAGAAAATGCAGCATTATTCACCATAGCCAAGATATGGAAACAATCTAAATGCCCACTGATGGATGAATGGGTAAAGAAAATGTGGTGTATACATTTAATGGAACATTTTTCAGCCTCTTTTTAAAGGAAATCCTGCCGTATGCAACAACATGGATGAACCTGGAGGACATTATGCTAAATGCAATAAGTCGGTCACAGAAGGACAAATAGTGCATGATTCCACTTATATGAGGCATCCCAAACAGTCAAACTCATAGAAACAGAGTAGAATGGTGGTGTCCAGGGGCTTGGAGGCAGGGGGAAATGTGGAGTTGCTCTTCAATGGGCATAAAGCTTCCATCGTGCAAGATGATTAAGTTCTAGAGATGATTAAGTTCTAGAGTGACATACAATGTTGTGCCTATAGTTAATAAAATTGTACACTTAAATATTTGTTGAGAGGGTAAATCTCCTGTTAAATGTTCTTCAATTAAATAAAACAGCAAAAACCATTAAAAAAAAACCATTAAAAGACAATATAGGTGGTAAGTCTTAGGAAACTGGCAGGTCAGACTGAATGAGTCACAAAAATCCAAAAGCATAAAAGGAATATATTGATAAATTTGATGTTGATACATCGACATTTTAAACATTTATGTGGCAAAAGCCAACATAAATAAAACTGGGGCAAGTTAGAAAGTGGGAGAAATATCTGCAGCAGATATCAAAAAATAAATATCAAGAGTATTAAAGGAAAATCTATAATTCAATAATTAGATGAACAACCTAACAGAAAAATGGGCAACGGACACAAGCGGGCAGTTCATTTGTTTTATTGCCCATTTTAAAATCCTCATAGTTGATAACATGCTGTCCTCACTAGTAAACAAGGACATTCATTATAAAACAATGACATACTAATCTGTTAGATTAGGAAAAATTTAGAAGTGTGCTAATGTTAAGTGTAAATGTAGAGAAATAACCTCACACTGCTATTGGAGGCCAAAGGGCAAGGTTATAAGTTTTTAAACACATACCTATACCCGACGCACCAATTCCCTGCTTGGTATCCACTCTGTAGAGACACTCACATGTACACAAGGGTGCATGTATATGAACAGCATTATTTGTAAAAGTAAAATTTGGGGGAAAACCTCAATGTTTATTAAGAGGGAAATGGATAAATAACCACGTGATATCTAAATCATAAACTAGTATGTCACAGTTAATTTTTAAGTGAAGTAATCTATGTGTAGGCCAACATGGAAAAATCTCCATGTATTATTGCGTTAAAAATGTTGTAGAATTATAAATTCAAATGTATACAGTATTACACCTTTCACAGTAAAGAAAATGAAACTATTTCTACTGATATATAAGCACAAACATATGTCAATACTCAGAAAAATGTCTGGAGGATTCACACCGAACTGATTATGGTGGTTACCTCTAGGCAAGGAAGAGAGATTGGGTATAATAGCCAAGAAGACTTCAGCTATAGATGTAATAGTTGAATTTTTTACAGTGAATGACTTCATGTGTTATTACTATAATTTAAAGAATATTTAAACAAAATGTTATTACTCTGAGCAATTCCACTTGATACCTCTTTTCCCTAACAGGAAAGAATTAGAAATGAATCAGATGAGCTCAAAGGTGGAGAATGAGAAAGGCCTGGTGGCTCAGCTTCAGAAGATGGTTAAAGAGCTCCAGGTAATCATTTATCAAATACCTGTGTGCACCTGTAGTTAGATCCATGGGTGATGATTGACACTTCAGTGACAGATGCTCTGCCAAGGTACCCATAGCTCTAGCCAACTATAGATGAGGCAGAAAAGAGCAGTGGTTGAGAAGGTAACCTGGCATTCTATAGATATGTGACTCTGGAGAACATTACGGTTTAAGCTTAGATTTCCTAATCACGAAGGTAATAAAAAAACAAGTAGCTAATTTGTTGAACATTTGACATAAACTAGGTATTGTGCTAAAACCCTGGACATCTACATTTTTACTCATTAATCCTCCTGACAACCTTTGAGCTAAAATTAAATGCAACAGTACATTTAAGTGGTAAGCTCAGTGCCTGACCCATGGTAAGCATTCAATGCTACCAATTTAATTTTTTATGATGATTAGTTTTTGTGATTAGAAGGCAATTATGCTGAAAATCTGTCTTGTAGCTACTTGTAGCCTCAAAACATTATTTGATAATGGGCAGCTATTTGTAAGTTTTAGACCAGGCAACTGTTTTATACTATATGACCACCTTATAAAGTAATTTAAAGCATGGATACATTTAACTCCTCATGTATACATGCAGATGGATTTTTTTCCTTTGAAGGTAAGTAGTTATCTCACTAATGTAACTATTATTCAAAATAATTTTGGAGCTTTTTTCTGATTATTACCTTCCGAGATATTTTGAGCCAAATTAGACCAGTCTCACTGCTTTATGGGCAAGCTTTCAGACAATATTAATCTCCAAGTGACTGCCTATCATATTCACCAGACTTCTCTTCAAATGATACTTTATCCAAAAAATGTTCAATTTATCCAAAATACAAATTTTCTTACCCTGATGATTTAAAAAATACTATCTAAAGGTTATTTCTTTTTATTTTTAATGTCTGAAACATTTATATTAACATATTTCCATACAAATAACCCAAAGAAAGTTTAGTATTAGTTGTTTTTTGTTCGTTTTTTGTTGTTTTATACTGCAGGTTCTTATTAGTCATCAGTTTTATACACATCAGTGTATACATGTCAATCCCAATCGCCCAATTCATCACACCACCATCCCCACCCCCCTGCGGCTTTCCCCCCTTGGTGTCCATACGTACGTTTGTTCTCTACACCTGTGTCTCAACTTCTGCCCTGCAAACTGGTTCATCTGTACCATTTTTCTAGGTTCCACATACATGCATTAATATACGATATTTGTTTTTCTCTTTCTGACTTACTTCACTCTGTATGACAGTCTTTAGATCCATCCACATCCCAACAAATTTCATTCAACTCAATTTCATTCCTTTTTATGGCTGAGTAATATTCCATTGTATATATGTACCACATCTTCTTTATCCATTTGTCTGTCGATGGGCACTTAGGTTGCTTCCATGACCTGGCTATTGTAAATAGTGCTGCAATGAACATTGGGGTGCATGTGTCTTTTTGAATTATGGTTTTCTCAGGGTATATGCCCAGCAGTGGGATTGCTGGATCATATGGTAATTCTATTTTTAGTTTTTTAAGGAAACTCCATACTGTTCTCCATAGTGGCTGTATCAATTTACATTCCCACCAACAGTGCAAGAGGGTTCCCTTTTCTCCACACCCTCTCCAGCATTTGTTGTTTGTAGATTTTCTGATGATGCCCATTCTAACTGGTGTGAGGTGATACCTCACTGTAGTTTTGATTTGCATTTCTCTAATAATTAGGGATGTTGAGCAGCTTTTCATGTGCTTCTTGGCCATCTGTATGTCTTCTTTGGAGAAATGTCTATTTAGGTCTACTGCCCATTTTTGGATTGGGTTGTTTGTTTTTTTAATATTGAGCTGCATGAGCTGTTTATATATTTTGAAGATTAATCCTCTGTCTGATGATTCATTTGCAAATATTTTCTCCCATTCTGAGGGTTGTCTTTTTGTCTTGTTTATGGTTTCCTTTGCTGTGCAAAAGCTTTTAAGTGTCATTAGGTCCCACCTGTTTATTTTTGTGTTTATGTCCATTACTCTAGGAGGTGGATCAAAAAAGATCTTGCTGTGATTTATGTCAAAGAGTGTTCTGCCTATGTTTTCCTCCAAGAGTTTTATAGTGTCCAGTCTTACATTTAGATCTCGAATCCATTCTGAGTTTATTTTTGTGTATGGTGTTAGGGAGTGTTCTAATTTCATTCTTTTACATGTAGCTGTCCAGTTTTCCCAGCACCACTTATTGAAGAGACTGTCTTTTCTCCATTGTATATCTTTGCCTCCTTTTTCATAGATTAGTTGACCATAGGTGCGTGGGTTTATCTCTGGGCTTTCTATCTTGTTCCATTGATCTATGTTTCTGTTTTTGTGCCAGTACCATATTGTCTTGATTACTGTAGCACTAAAGGTTATTTCTAAAGAAATGTTTCAGCAATGTTTGGTTCAGTGACAGTATTGTTATAAATAAAGGTATTGGATCCCAAGATAACTAACTGGAAGGGGATCACGATTACCTGGATGTGGAAACCATACATTTTTTGGCACCTTCTCTGTCATAACTCATCTACAGATTAGATAGCCTTACTTAATGGGCTGGTCTAGAAATTAGCTTCCTCTCAGCAATCATACTCTTATTTAATGAAATTTTTAATATTCTAAAATAGAAGTTATCCTTTTTTCCCTATACTCTAACCTATGCCTAATTATTTAAGGTGATGTTAATGACCATCCTTGTTTTTTTTTTAAATTTTATTTTATTAATTAATTTATTTTTGGCTGTGTTGGGTCTTCGTTTCTGTGTGAGGGCTTTCTTTAGTTGCGGCGAGCAGGGGCCACTCTTCATCATGGTGCGTGGGCCTCTCACTGTCGTGGCCTCTCTTGTTGCGGAGCACAAGCTCCAGACGCGCAGGCTCAGTAGTTGTGGCTCACGGGCCTAGTTGCTCTGCGGTATGTGGGATCTTCCCAGGCCAGGGCTCGAACCCATGTCCCCTTCATTGGCAGGCAAATTCTCAACCACTGCACCACCAGGGAAGCCCACCATCCTTGGTTTTACCGTACTGTCCCACAATGATGCTATCAAGATTTGTCGAGTTTTTTGCCGTTACACTGAAAGACTTTTGGGCTCTGAGAGTTCTTATCACTTCTTTTCTTTGTCTTATAATTCTGCTTCTAATGATATCAGATTACTATCCAATTTAGTAGTCTCATTCCTCCACCAAATTTAAATTATTTTTTATTTCAATTTTCCTGCTACCTTAAATCACCTACAGACTAAGAAACCAAGTAACCAGGTTTGTCAGAATTGTGTGTAAAATTAAATTGATGCTTGTGAGTTAGCTGCTTGAACTCAAAATATTTAGTCTATTAATCAGATTTTTGCCCAAGTTTCCAATAGTTGAGGTTGTCAGGTAAGCAAATTCCAGATAAATGAGGTATTGTATATAACATTCATCATGTTATTTTTTTAATAAGCTCTCTTTAAAATGATTCCTTGTTATATGAAACATATTTTCTATTCCTTTGGAAAGTGCTCTTTATTAAAATTTCCTCTTCATGTATATAGTATAATGAAGTTGCTTATCACCAAGGCCTGGGAAATTGAGAGGAATTACAAATTTTAATCCTGCTCTTGGCATTGGTTTGGATCAAATCATTTAATTTCTCTGTATTCTATCTTCTTTAACTATAAAATGAGAACCAAAAGTGTTAGTTGTGAGAAATAAAAAAAAATACAGTAGAGCTCTTGAATATAAAATATGCTACAAGTGCTTAGTAAAATCAAAATTATCTATTGCTACAGGCTCAGATACAGGTTTTGAAAGACAAACTGGAAGCTTAAAGGACCACTCGAGCCAAGGTAGAAAGGGAGAGAACTGACCTCACCGAGAGCTGGAAGACCTGAATGAGGGGCTGGAGGAGACAGCAGAGGCCAGTTTGGCTCAACTGGAAATAACTAAAGAACAAGAAACAAAATTCCAGAAGCTCCGCTGAGACATGGTAGAGTCCACACTGCACTTTGAGGCAACCTCTGCCTCTTTGAAGAGGCACAGAGACAGCCTGGCTGAGCTGGAGAGCCAGGTAGAAAATCTACAACAGGTCGAGCAGACACTGGAAAAAGACAAGAGTGACCTGCAGCTCAAAGTGAATGATGTCCTGACCCATGTTGAGCAGATGACCAGAGCTAAGGTAAGGAACATTGCCAAGCCCTCCTTGAGGATTTAGGACATGGAAGTAGGCAGAGGAGGGGAAGGAAAAGAAAGTTAAAGCAAATTGGTGACTCAGAGTATTTGCTAGTGGAGGCTAGAGATCTTCAGATTGGCTAGATCAGGTCTAATCTCAGTGATTGTTAAAGTCACATGACCATCCCCTGAAGGTAGTCTGACAGTGGCTTCTGGTTTCATTGGAATTCCAGTCCATGTTCCTTGTGGGTCTCTCTAGTGATGATGTAGTAAGTAGACTGGACAAGTGAAACCACTAGCTCATGAGTGGTGCTTCTCTCTTGAAGGATGGCTTTGAGTTGGGAGCACTCCACGGTGGGGCTCAGGTACTTTGAGTCCTTCTGAACAAATGGTGGCACAAATAGCTTTGCGGGGAGGAGAGAACTTTTTCTCCTTCATGTCCTCTGGCATCTCTTTAACGAGCCAACACTAGGAGAAACTTTATCACATGTTCTTTCTTCACTGAGCCCATTAATCTCTACACTGCCAGCTCTCATCTCGAATGACTAGTATCAGATCACAGGTGAGAGCTGCCTTACCTCCTGGCAGTTGAGAGGAGCCTTGCTTGAGGTCACACAGAGCAAGTAGCTGGTGCCAAATTGTCCTTGTGAGCAGAATTTATAGTCACTTGGGAAAGACGAACCAACAATAAAGCTTGATCTTTATGGACGGTGGTCAGAAAAATGTAGAATTTCTTCAGATACTGAGTGACTCCTGAAACGTTTAGCATTAATTTCCTTTAAAGACCACTTTGAGTAGAAACACAACTACCCTGCTTTTCCTTCTCTTTCTTTCCACTGTCCCTGCCAACCCACCTCCAATTATCTTAAAATATAAATCTAGTGAGGACTTAGGACCTCTTTTCCTCCGTCTCTTCTGTATTCTGCATTTTGTATCGATTCTGTCCTCAACAATGAAAATATTCTCACTCCTTGCCCTTGTAGGCTTCATCTTCTTTTGTCAGCCCAAGTGAGCCCTGGAAGACCTCACTCTCTTCATACTCTTTGCCTCTCATTCATCCTCAGGAACTCTTCTGTTTCTGTACATTTTAGTAGAAAGTCATAAAATCATAAAACTGTTGATAGGTTCACCATAAATCCATACTAATTAGGTGTGAATTTTATACTTTCCAACTTCCTATAGAATTTCATTGCTGCTCAGAAGTTCTTTGTTCTTCTAACTCACTTTGTTTTATTTTAGAAGAGAAACAGACCTCTAACCCTGCCTTTCTGAATCCTTCCTTTTAATAAATGCTGCCTTTCTGAATCCTTCCTTTTAATAAATGTTAACAACTTACTGATAAGATTAAGACCATTAATTATAACTTCTCTCTTCACCTTATAAGCTATTCACTCATCCATTTATTTCCTTCTTGTTCCAAAGAATAAAATATTCTTCCACATGGGCATTATTCACCCACTGCAAAAAACAAAAGGCTTTTCCACACTAAGAATGGTATTTTGAGAAAAAAGCAAAGTCTGTCCATATCTGTCTTAATCTGACTCCTTGACCAAAAAGTAATGTTCTATTTATCTATTGATATGTAACAAATCACTTAGAGTTAAAACAATAATTTATTATTCTCTCTCTTGGTTCTGGAGGTTGACAGGCTTATCGCAGATGGTGGTTGAGACTGGAATCATCCGAAGGTTTACTCATTTGTGTGTCTGGCTCCTGGGCTGGGATAGCTAGACAGTTGGGGGCTGGTTGGAAATCTCTCTTTTTGTGTGACCTCTCCATGTAGCTAACTTGGGTTTCCTCATAGCATGGCAGGCATAGGGGAGTTGGACTTCTTACATGGCAATTCAGGGCACTAAAAGCAAATATTCCAAGAGACCAAAGGTGCAAAGACTCTTGTGAGGAAGGCTTACAATACAGTGGAGTGATTCTGTGTGACTCCCAACAGTGATGAGTCACAGGGGTAATGTCTACACATGGCTGCGAATACTAGAGACTGTGACTCCCTGGGGGGCCATCTTTGGAGACTAGTTCCCACAAGTAGGTGTATACCTCACTACCTCCTACTCCTTTAACCCCTGCAATTTCTTTTATTTCCTCTGATTATCTTTAAAGTATTTTCTTTTTTTTTAACATCTTTATTGGAGTGTAATTGCTTTACAATGGTGTGTTAGTTTCTGCTTTATAAAAAAGTGAATCAATTATACATATACATATATCCCCATATCTCCTCCCCCTTGTGTCTCCCTCCCACTCTCCCTATCCCACCCCTCTAGGCGGTCACAAAGCACCGAGCTGATATCCGTGTGCTATGCAGCTGCTTCTCACTAGCTATCTGTTTTGCATTTGGTGGTACATATAAGTCTATGCCACTCTCTCACTTCATCCCAGCTTACCCTTCCCCATCCCCATGTCCTCAAGTCCATTCTCTACGTCTGTGTCTTTATTCCTGTCCTGCCTCTAGGGTCTTCAGAACCATTTATTTATTTATTTAGATTCCATATATATGTGTTAGCATACGGTATTTATTTTTCTCTTTCTCACTTACTTCACTTTGTATGACAGTCTCTAAGTCCATCCACCTCACTACAAATAACTCAATTTCGTTTCTTTTTATGGATGAGTAATATTCCATTGTATACATGTGCCAGATATCCTTTCTCAACTCATCTGTCGATGGACACTTAGTTTGCTTCCATGCCCTGCTATTGTAAATAGAGCTCCAATGAACATTGTGGTACATGACTCTTTTTGAATTATGGTTTTCTCAGGGTATATGCCCAGTAGTGGGATTGCTGGGTCATATGGTAGTTCTATTTGTAGTTTTTTAAGGAACCTCCATACTGTTCTCCATAGTGACTGTATCAATTTAGATACCCACCAACAGTGCAAGAAGGTTCCCTTTTCTCCACACCCTCTCCAGCATTTGTTTGTAGATGTTTTGATGATGGCCATTCAGACCGGCATGAGGTGATACCTCATTGTGATTTTGATTTGCATTCTCTAATGATTAGTGATGTTGAGCATCCTTTCATGTGTTTGTTGGCAATCTGTATATCTTTTTGGATAAATGTCTATTTAGCTTTTCTGCCCATTTTTGGATTAAGTTGTTTGTTTTTTTGATATTGAGTTACATGAGCTGCTTGTATATTTTGGAGATTAATCCTTTGTCAGTTGCTTTATTTGCAACTATTTTCTCCCATTCTGAGGGTTGTCTTTTGGTCTTGTTTATGGTTTCCTTTGCTGTGCAAAAGCTTTGAAGTTTCATTAGGTCCCATTTGTTTATTTTTGTTTTTATTTCCATTTCTCTAGGAGATGGGTCAAAAAGGACCTTGCTTTGATTTATGTCATAGAGTGTTCTGCCTCTGTTTTCCTCTAAGAGTTTTTATAGTGTCTGGCCTTACATTTAGGTCTTTAATGCATTTTGAGTTTATTTTTGTGTATGGTGTTAGGGAGTGTTCTAATTTCATTCTTTTCCATGTAGCTGTCCAGTTTTCCCAGCACCACTTATTGAAGAGGCTGTCTTTTCTCCATTGTATATTCTTGCCTCCTTTATCAAAAATAAGGTGACCATATGTGCATGGGTTTATCTCTGGGCTTTCTATCCTGTTCCTTTGATCTATATCTCTGTTTCTGTGCCAGTACCATATGGTCTTGATTACTGTAGCTTTGTAGTAAAGTCTGAAGTCAGGGAGTCTATTACTCCAGGTCTGTTTTTCTTTCTCAAGATGGCTTTGGCTATTCAGGGTCTTTTGTGTTTCCACGCAAGCTGTGAACTTTTTTGTTCTACTTCTGTGAAAATTTCATTGGTTGTTTGATAGGGATTGCATTGAATCTATAGGTTGCTTTGGGTAGTATATTATCTTCACAATGTTGATTCTTCCAATCCAAGAACATGGTATATCTCTCCATCTGTTTGTATCATCTTTCATTTCTGTCATCAGTGTCTTATAGTTTTCTGCATACAGGTCTTTTGTCTCCTTAGGTAGGTTTATTGCTAGGTATTTTAATCTTTTTGTTGCAATGATAAATGGGAGTGTTTCCTTAATTTCTCTTTCAGATTTTTCATCATTAGTGTATAGGAATGCAAGAATTTCTGTGTATTAATTTTGTATTCTGCTACTTTACCAAATTCATTGATTAGCTCTAGTAGCTTTCTCGTAGTATCTTTAGGATTCTCTATGTATACTATCATGTCATCTGCAAACAGTGACAGCTTTACTTCTTTTCCGATTTGGATTCCTTTTATTTCTTTTTCTTCTCTGATTGCTGTGACTAAAGCTTTCAAAACTATGTTGAATAATAGTGGTGAGAGTGGACAACCTTGTCTTGTTTCTGATCTTAGACGAAATGGTTTCAGTTTTTCACCATTGAGAATGATGTTTGCTTTGGGTTTGTCACATATGGCTTTTATTATGTTGAGGTAAGTTCCCTCTATGCCTACTTTCTGCAGCGTTCTTATCATAAATGGGTGTTGAATTTTGTTGAAAGATTTCTCTGCATCTATTGAGATTATCGTATGGTTTTTATCCTTCAATTTGTTAATATGGTGTATCACGTTGATTGATTTGCGTATATTGAAGAATCCTTGCATCCCTGGGATAAACCCCACTTGATCATAGTGTATGATCCTTTTAATGTGCTGTTGGATTCTGTTTGCTAGTATTTTGTTGAGGATTTTTGCATGTATGTTCATCAGTGATATTGGCCTGTAGTTTTCTTTCTTTGTGACATCTTTGTCTGGTTTTGTATCAGGGTTATGGTGGCCTCGTAGAATGAGTTTCGGGGTGTTCCTCCCTCTGCTATATTTTGGAAGAGTTTGAGAAGGATGGGTGTTAGCTCTTCTCTAAGTGTTTGATAGAATTCGCCTGTGAAGCCATCTGGTCCTGGGCTTTTGTTTGTTGGAAGATTTTTAATCACAGTCTCAATTTCAGTCCTTGTGATTGGTCTGTTCATATTTTCTATCTCTTCCTAATTCAGTCTCAGAAGATTGTGCTTTCCTAAGAATTT